CACCACCTGCCCAGGTTAGCAGGACTCCTCCTCAGATCCTCCAGCTCAAGTCAACCACTTCCTGGAACAAAGACTCATCTACCTCCATATCCTTCCTTCCCAGCATCCTCCAAGAACTGGGAATCAGACATGTCAAAATTGTGCTCTGTTTCAAACAGCTGTTTGTCACTTAATTTATTTTTTCCTGCTTTTCTTCTTTTGTCTATTTCTTGATTTCTAAGAGTTCTACATCAAGTTCGGTCTTCCAACATAAATTCTTAGTTATAACAGGTGCCATGGGATAACTACTTCTCTGCTTCCTCTGCTCCTTTTTAATTTTTCTTTCTCTCCTCATTTTTCTCTGATCCACTATTTAGCTTTTCTTGCACCACTGTCACTAAAGATCATGACCACAGCATGATTTGCTCCAGTCTGCAATACTAATAATCTTAAAATGTCTGTGACATTATTTTCTAGATTTTCCTGGGAGACTACTTCATAAAGAGGCCCTTCATCTGGTTATTTTCACTGTGTGTAAATGTGAGGATAACCTGGGCAGTTTTATTATATTCTGCAGCTCAGATAGTAATGGTGGAGCTGAGTGAATTTTCCAACAGTACTGTGAAGGAGTCAGGACAAACAGGCTCCAGAGCCTCCAGCTCTCTTCCCTGCTCACCACAGTCATCACTGCCTTCACTGTGGCCCATGGATCACAAGGACACTCAGATGGTATGCTACAGTAAAGTGCAAAGCCCCTAAGTCTATATACTGAAATGCTGAATGTCGAGTTCTCTTGCCCTTGCTCACCAACAGAGTGCATGCAAACATGCATACTCATAATTCCCCCAAGAGGACTAGAAGATTCTTCTCTCCAGAGAAAAGGAGTATCACACTTGAGATTACAAAAGGATAGACCCCTCCTGCCTATAACATTCACTAGCTGACAAGCTCATTCATGCTTTGAATTTGCTTTATTATTTGTTTTATTTGAAAAGCTTTGAATTTACTTTATTATGATAGTCTTACTCTTAAATATAAATAGAGAGCCAAAGATTACCAGATAACTGGATAATGTTTCTATCAAGTAAGACCTCTCTCAACCAGGCATGGTGGAATATGTCTATAATTCCAGCACTCTGAGAGTCTAAGATAGGAAAATCATAGATTTGAATCCAGCCTGGCCAACTTATTTAGTGAAACCTGTGCAAAATTTAAAAAGATTAAAGGTTAGAGTTGAAGCTCAGTGCAAAGGCCCTCAATCCTCAATATTAGAAAAAACAGGAGCCAGGGAAACACAGGGAGGAAGCAGATGGAGGTGAGCTGAGGATAAAGGGAGGGAGAGGAGGGGAGTTCTGTTGAGAGGTTAGGTGTGGTAGTGCATTGTTTATAATCACAGTACTAAGTGGGCTGAGGCAGGAAGATTGAGAATTGAAAAAAAAAAAACCCAAATACTTCTGATCTATACCATAAAAAAACCAAAAAAAGAATAGAAACAAAGGGCACAGTGGTAGATGTATGTATACAATTCCAAGGGGAAGTGTAAATTCAAAGTCCGCCTGGACTATTCAACAAGTTCAAAGCAAGCCTGGACTACATTGTGAGAACCTGTTCTCAAAAACCAACACATACACACACACACACGCACACACGAAGTAGTAGGAGACAAAGATAATATAGGGAGGAAAACAAAGCAAAGCACAACACTTTAAAATCCTCAGAGAGATAAAACACTGATTCCATTAAAAAATACAAAATATTACTAAGGAATAAATAATAAGAGTAAGAAAGAACCCCTGGTGGTGATTAAGTAAAAGGGTGGCTAAAGTTTTTTAAAAATTGGATAAAAGGTGCCAGGCATGATACACTTGTAATCCCAGCCCTCTGAGAAGCTGAGACAGGAGGATCATGAATTCAAGTTCTTCCTGGACAACTAAATGACTGAAAAAGATCTTGACTCAAACTAAGAAAAGGGCTGGGAATGCACTCAGTGTGAAGGCCTTGGCTTTCATCCCCAGAGGAGGAGGAGAGAGAGCTAGTGAGAGACACATGTAAGTAGTGGTTGGATGAGACCAGGTTTCCCAAGAGCAGCAATGCAAGCTGGAAGACCAAGATACACAATGGAAGAACAGTGAAGGGAGGCCCCAGATGCCAGCTGCACAGGACAGGCAGTTCCTACTTCAGACAGAAGATGAAGGGCTCTGGAGTGGAAATCTCCAGCAGCTAATGTGTTCCAGCATAGTACTATACTCAGTCACATAGCAGCAATGTTAGAGCAACTGGGAGAAAAATCAATGATAGAGATTTTGAAAATTAGGTAATGAAAACACAGCCTTTACACTTCATGATTGGTTTGTGTCAGTGCCCTCTAATCTTTGCATCTGTCTTCATGTTGTCTTCTCTGTGTATATGTTTAATCTTACTCTGCCTCTCCCCTAAAAAGTAAACCTGTGATGGCATGTAGGACTCTCCCAGATAATTAAAAATAAATCTCATCTCAAATTCTTTTTTTTTTTTTGGTACTAGGGATCAAACTCATGATCTCGCGCTTGCCAGGCAGGCACTTATGCCACTGAGCTATTTCCAGCCCCTCAAATTCTTAATTAATCACATTTGTAAAAACTTTACCATATGAAGTAATATGCACATGTTCCAGGGATTAGGCCTATTATCTTTGGTGAGGGGCCATCATTCAGTCCAAGGCAATAAAAAAATGACATTTCAAATCTAAGCAAAAGGGCTATTATCCAATAAGTAATGTTAGGAAACTTGCTATCTAGTTGAAAAATTATTTTGATACTGAGATATTGTAAGAATGGTTAAAATTTAAATAGTAGGCCAAGGATATAGCTCAGCAACACAGCGCCTGCCTGGCAAGCATGAGGTCCTGATTTTGATTCTTGGTATCAAAAAAGAAAAAAATTTAAATACTAAAACCTTAAAATGGTACTATGTGGCAATGACAGTGTAAGTGAATGTTTTATAATTTGAGATCGGAAATATTCCTAACATAAAGCAGGCAAGAAAATCATGTAAAAATGGTTTAGTAGATATCATGAAAATGTAAAACATACATAGCATTACAAATGGATCATAAGTATTATGGTGACTGGATGTGTGTTATGGCTTGATTAAAAGTTTGTCTGCATTTTGCTCATGTCTAGAGACTCGACTGAGATTAAGGGTGATGGACTAATTAAACTGGCAGAAGAAATTTCAAGGCAGTCAAATATTGAAGTGGTGGCATGGGTAATGCCGGGGGCTTTTAGCCAGGTTTATGTTGTGAATCAAAAGGACAGAGCTTAGCAAGATGATTTAAAATGTTGTGAGTTTAGCCAGAAAGGAAGCTTCAGTAAAGCTGTGGAGTACAAAGATAAGACCTGAGATAATCTGGACTGCTGACAAGGAACAGAATAGGATGGCCTGAAACTATCACAAGAAGCTGCAAGTCTCCACCTTTTGCAGCCTCAAAACTGCAAAAGTGGAAGACCTTACTTTGAGGAGAAAGCTATGGAGCACTAGGTTCCAGAATGGTGGCAGCCATACCATATTTCACAGTGGCTGCACCAGTCTACACTCCCACCAACAACGGAGAAGGGTTCCTTTTTCCCCACAGCCCCTCTAGCATTTGTTACTGCTTTATTTCGTGATAACTGCCATTCTTTCTGGAGTGAGATGGAATCTCAGTGTTGTTTTAATTTGCATTTCTTGAATGACTGGTGATATTGAACATTTCTTCATATATGTATTTACCATTTGTATTTCTTCATCTGAGAATAGTGTATTCATCTTAGATGCTCATTTTTGAATTGGGTCTTTGAATTTGAGGAGTAGGGCCTGATTGTTTTCAATTCTTTATATGTTCTAGATGGAAGTTGTTTGTCTGAGGGACAGTTGGTTAAAATTGTTTCTTATAAATCGTTAAACTGTTTTTTAATAAATCTTAATAAATTTTTTAATAAGATGAGATCCCAGTAGTTCTTTTTTTTTTTTTTTTATGGGTACCGGGGATTGAACTCACACCGCCTGCTTGCAAGGCAGGTTCTTATGCCACTGAGCTAAATTTCCAGCCCCCCAGTAGTTGATTCTTTCAAATATTTTCTGTGCAGTCTGGTTTTTGTTCGTGAATTCTGCATACGGCTATATCTTCAAGATTTCTACCTACTTTCTCTTTGATGTGGTTTTACTTCAGATACTGGTATAAAGTTTTTCTATTACTTAGGATAAACATTTAGCATAAAAATATAGCTTCTATTGCCTGATGGTGCACATCTGTAATCCCAACACTCTGGAGGCTGTGGCAGGAGGATTGTTGCAAGTTTGAGACCAGCCTGGGCTGCAAAGTTAGCGCAAAGCTAGCCTGAACTGCATAGTAAGACCCTGTCTCAAACAGACCCCCCCCAAAAAATATGTATGTATATATGACTTCCTTTTTTTTTTTTCAGTAGTCTCATGTTACAGCTTCTTTCTGCCCTTTGGATTGACTGATTTCTGGGCACCTTTCTAAATCTAATTATAATCCTGTACCTGAAAATTATAATTAGTAGTAATCAGAACAATGCCTTGTACATGTTTCCACAATGATATATACAATACATTTTGCACTATTAAATAAATACAGAGTTAAAAACACTGGGTACGTTAGGTATGGATAACAAAAAAAGATTTTAAAATCTTGTCATAAAAATACATGCATGTCATTAGGAAAGGTTTACCTAGATAATAAATCTGTAATTAACTCCCATTAAGATGGAGGCAGCGGTGCCTAATCCATGGGAAGAGGATTACAATTAATACGGTCTCTCACTGCATTGCTGGAGTCAGAATCAAACATGGTAAATCAAACGTACTTGGAAAAAAACCCCAAAACTAGGGAGCGACATTTCTTTCCAACAAGCTGTTTCATAACAGCTTTTCGGTTCCGTGCATCAAAATCCCCTCGTAGAAGACGCACAGCCCCGCCCGCGGCTGCGCCAGGGCTCAGGCCGGGCTCTCACCTTGCCCGCCCAGCGCTCCGGACCTACCGGTCCGCCGCCGCCAGCGCCGCCCACGCGAGTGCACAGCCTCTCCTCCAACGCCCGGCGGCACAGCGCATCCCGGCCGGCACCTCCGCTCCGGCTTTGTTTTACCAATGGTGGCCAGTTTCTGAGGACGACGTTCCCTTCATAAAAAAACGAAATAAAAATAAAACCAACCTGCACGTAAGGCTAGGCGCCTGGCACCCGAGGCCGTCAGCACCTGCTCTCCGAGAAGCGGTCTCTTCCCGGAAGGAAGCCCCTGAGCAGCCTCGGGCGCGGCGCCGCCAGCTCCCGGCCTGCGGCACCCGGCCCACGGCGGTGTGGTAGGAGTGCCGCCTGCCCGCGAGGACCACCCGCCTGGATTCCGCCCTCCGCGCGCTACGCTGGACCCCGGAGCCAAGGAGGCGTTGCCGAGTGAACCTAGGGCATCGGCTCCGGCCGGACACTGATCACAGTGTGGCACGACGGCGCTCCTCAGCGCTTTGGGCGGTGTCCGTCCTACCTCGCGGCGCCCTCCTGTTCGCCCCCTCGCGGCTCCCGTCCGCAGCCTCCCGCGCGCCCTCGTCCGAGCCCCCAAGCCTCCGAGCTCCCGAGCTCCCGAGCTCCCGAGCCCCGGGCCGTCGCCGCAGCGGGCCCGAGGTTCAAATACTGGCTCCGCCCAGTGCCTCAAGATTCGCTCAGGAGCGAAGGCCGGCGCCGCGTTGTACCTGCCTTCCCTAAGTCCTCTTTATGAAACAGGGATCACCGAACGGGTCAGAAGTTGGTCCCAGGACCCGCAGGGCGCGAAGGAAGCCCTCTGCCCGCTGCCTCTCTGCGTGTCCCCCCCCCCCCCCTCGCGCATCCGCGAGCTCCGAGCTCTGGAGCCCGGATCTCCCTAGGACTCAGCCTTCATTGAACCAGGTTTGTACCAGGAACGACTCACGGCCTTGTTCTTCTTTATTTTAAAGGTTTAAAAAGAACAAAGTTGAGCTGGGCATACGGCTTACATAGCACCTGCTTGGCAGGCGTGAGGTCCTGAGTTCAACTCCTGGTACAAAAAACAGGCTGGGGATTTAGCTCAGCGGCATAAGCGCCTGCCTTGCAGGCAGTCATGAGTTCGATCCCTGGTACCGGTAAAAAACAAACAAACAAAAACCCTACCAAACAAGTTAACTGTAAATAACTCATCTTGAATGCACATCTATAACTATATCTTTGTGTAATAAAGGAGTTTTCAAGAAACAAGAAAGTAAATTCTGAACCTAAACACTTTACAAAAAATGTAAACAACTAGAACTAAAACTACGTACTGGTGGACGATAAGTGTATGTTTTTATTTTAAAGAGAATAAAACCAAACAAAACAATGAAACAATGAAGCTGTACAGGTTTTCAAAACAAGATAACAGGAAATCACAGTGGCTGTCACAATCTTATTATCTTCAGAATAGCTGCCCAGACCATCAGACAAAGGCTTGTAAAATTATCCAAACAATACAAGAACTAAGTTGCTTTTTTACCGCGGTTGTTATTTTTTCAGAAATTTCTGATGTTTGACTTCTAATTTCTACTGTCTGAGTCTCCTGAACTTGTTCTGTGTGGGCTGAAGGTCTGAGATTCTATTTTGCTCCTTCCTCTTGACATTTTCCTGTGTTCCTCTGAATCAGCCACTTCCCGCATTGGCTGCTCATCCCTCGATGTAGGGAATTGGCACCGGGGTTCCTCGGCTGGAGTTCCTAGAGTGGTGGAGAGGCACTGGGTGGCAGTTCGCTGATGCTCTCCGTTGGCTGCGGAGCTTCAGAGTGTGGCTTATTCTTCAGGCCTCGCTGGGCAGAGGCTTGGGGCATCCTTCTTTGGGCCCACGTTGGACTCTTAAGTTATTTCTTTCTAATGCATTGCTCATTACACTTTCAAAGTTCTGAAATGGCTAACAGACCCTAGAAAGACTTTTCTTTAGGCTCCTAGTTGAATGGTTAAAGATAATTTATCAACTCGAAGTGCTTTCTTTTTGAAGGGGGCTCTAAAATTTTTAAACAGCTTTCCTAACACTTTGCAAATTACAAATTCATTACAACTGTGGCATCTAGCAAGGAAAAGTGCTTACACTTGAGGCAATAACTAAAGGTCTAATATGAAAGTCAAAATTGGAGTCAGAATCCAGACTATCAGTACTATAAAGTATCGTGCAAAGCAGGAACACAGTAGTTTTAGGATGGGGGAAAGTGAACTATTTATTTACTCTATAAAGGGTTAATTTAGACTGACAATATTAAGAGGAATTTAGGTTCTTGCACTATAACAAGTAGACTTCAAGGAATTAGGGATTTTTTTGTTTTTATTTTTTTCTTTTTTTGGAAAGAGTCCACAGCTCTGCACAGCAGAGACTCACAATTTTCGATACAAGGTAAGACCCAGGGCTGGGGATTTAGCTCAGTGGTGTATCTCAGTCATGAGCTCGACCCCCAGTACCCCCCCAAACCCACAACCTCAAAAATTAATACTAGGTAAGACCCTTAGAAGGTAAGAACTTGCGCTTGACAAACATGAATGATTACTGAATTGCTTTATATTAAGCTTGGCATCCCCCCAAGGGCACATCACACGGCTCAATCAATACCTGTATGGTATCTGTCTTCCTTTCCTATTAGATGCTGAGCTGCTGGTCCTGAATGAATGTTTGTTCCATCAGTGAATGAACTGAAAGATGGCTGAGAACTGCAAAAATTGAGTACAAAATATCTCAAAAGAACTGACCATGCTTCTCTCCAAAGAATAAAGGAGTCTAATGTAGTAAGCAAAACAGCTTTCACAGTTTACCATGCCACATAGCAAATTTCTTGCAATATTTTAGGGAATGTGTGTTCCAGCAGGTTGCAGTTTAATTCGAGGATTAAAAAAAAAGGATAAGAAAAAGGTTAAGGTTAGCTTCATTTGAAACAAAGGTTCTATAAGAACACATCAGAAAAATCAGAATAGTGACTGTGGGCCAGGTCTGTTGGTTTTATTCCTTAATTGGGGAAAATTACAGAAAGATAACACCATGTTTTCAGACTGCCATAAAACATAGCATTTACGCATAACAGCACTTTTTAAAAACACATTCACCACAGATCTCTAAGAAAAGTGTCCAACAGTGACACAGTATGAGAATGGTTTTGATGAACAGTGCAGAGCCCCTGATGCTGCAGAGCCCCTGATGTGTTCCTTGGCAGGAGTTAGAGCATCCTAGATGTGGAAAGAATGATCTCCCTTGAGCCGGTGAATTGTTGGATGTTTACATGGCTTGTGCTAGTTTCTTAGCAAATAAACGAGGACACACAGTAGTTAAATTTTAGCATATGAAAATCTTTTAGGAAATGATTCAAGATCATTAAAATACTTTTATATGGGAGGACTTAATTTCGTTTAGAAGTAGGAACATTTATAGGACAGCCATTTCACTTCCTGTCAACATGTGACAGACCTATACTAGCACACAGATTCTTCCATCACAGACTTCTGCATGCTACCTAGAAAAGAACACTAGGTACCTTGAAATGTGGGGCCCCACAACTCAGGTCCAAACTTGGACTTAGTTATTTTAAAGAATAATGATCAAAAAACCCCAAAAAGTAATGATCTTCTGTTTTTATATTTTAGGGCAAATCTCTATTTAGTCATCTAAATAAAACCATAATTGATATTAGAAATTTAAATTATCCTACTATTTATATGGGTTTTACTAGAGATTAGGGATGTATTATACTTTATGTCATCGAAATAGCTCCATTTCTTCAAGGTGTTTCCATCCTCTGTAACTGGTTGGATCTTAGTAGGTAAAAAGCATTACAAGCCAGTGGCAGTGAGGGGTAGAGATCTGTTTTCCCAGATGCTCACACTAGTAACTATATTAATGTAAGCTGAATATGCTCATGGTCTCCTACATTTTCACTCAGGGCTAGAAGATGCAGTATTAAGATGGCTTTTTATAAATGTCAAGTATTTCACAAATATTTTAAAAATATTTCCTCTTCCTGAAACTATCATTGAACTTACCTTGGAATTAAGTTCCAAGCATGTCATATTATTTAGAATTATTTAAAATTTCTAAACTCTCTGTCAGATTTTACCTAATAAGATCAGTTCTCTGTATTTATTACTGAGAATCGTATCTCCTAGCCCCATCATTAATTGGCTGTATGCTTTCATACAAGTACTTATGTCTGGATTGTGGTCTCTTAATGTAAATGACAATTCACTTATATGAATAAACCACAGAATATTTTCTGATGTCCCCTTTTGCTCATATAATTCCTATATGAAAATATAAAAATGGGTCTTTAGGGTAGTCTAGTACCAATAAATGGCAGCTAAGTTTATAACATTTCCTTTCTATAAGTGAAGACATTCTCACATTTATTCTTTTTTTTTTTTTGTCTTTTTCATTTTTATCGGTACCGGGGATCGAACTCACAACCGCCTGCTTGCAAGGCAGGTGCTTATGCCGCTGAGCTAAACCCTCAGCCCCCTCACATTTATTCTTTACACTTATGAAAACATCATTCTTGGTTAGTTTGGTTTGGTTTAGTTTGGTACCAGGGATCCAACTCCCAACCTAGCGCTTGCCAGGTGGGAGTTTATGGTGATGAGCTAAATCCCCAGCTTGAAAACATCATTCTTATGCGTAAGAATTGTGAAGACTGAGTATAGTTCAGTGTGGCAGAGTGTTTGCCTAGCATACAAGAGGCCCTGAGTTCAAACCTAGAACCAAAAAAACCCTTTTTAAATGCAAAGTCTGTAAAGTTAGCTTGGCCTTCTATGCGTTGCTTCCACATATGTAGATTTAATCAACTTTAGGTAGAAAATATTTGGGGGAAAAACTGCATCTGTACTAAACATGTACAGATTTTTTTTCTTGGCATTATTACCTAAACAATAGAACATAACAATTATTTACATAGCATGTACATGGCATTAGGTATTGTAGTAGACCCTTGAACAAAACAGGTTTTAATTGTAGGGTCCACTTATATGTGGATTTTTAAAAGAATTTTTTAGAACAAAAACAGAAATACTGCATAGCCTAGAAATTTTTTAAAATTCAGAAAAAAATTAGGTATATCATAAATGCATAAGATATCTATAGATAAGTCTATTTTATTATTACCATCAAATATACAGTATTCTAAGTTACTTCATCAAAACTTGCACAATCACCATACATGGTACCATAAGCAATCAAGAGAACTGTAAACAAACATAAAGATGTACTGTTAACACTGCTGCCGCTTCAATCTTGCAGTGGAACAAATGTGCTGTCTCTTTGGGCTGCTTGTATCACCAATGATACAAACAGATCTAGTACTTTTACTGGTAAAAGTAATGAATAGTCATACATGTGCCACCAGTGGTTCAAGCCACCTGCTGCAAGACATTTGATGTATAGCCCCACTGGGAACATGTTAATTCCTAATAGTGAAATCAACTGTAGTGCACATTATACTACTATCCTCATTTCATAGTCATCTGCTGCTATTGCAGTAAAATTAAGTGTTGGAGACACTTAAAAATAACATGTGATGCTAATCATTTCCATGTGTATCATCTTAGTAGTAAATTATGCCTCTGGTAAAAATGACTTCTTGTGGCTCTGATGTATATTTCACCATACATAATACAATGTATAAAATATGCATTAACCTACTTTTATGCTCCAGGTAAGGTTTCCAGTTAGGAGCAGGCTATCAGTAGTTGCTTTGGGGTAGATAAAAGTTGTATGTGGATTTTTTTTTGTCTATACAGGAGTTGATGCCCCTAACACCTATGTTAAGAGTCAATTAGGGGGCTGGGCATTTAGCTCAAGTGGCATAAGCGCCTGTCTTGCAAGCACATGGTTGTGAATCTGATCCCCAGTACGGAAAAAAAAAAGTCAACTGGGCCTGCGATATAACTCCGCGGCATTTGGCAATGTGCAAAGTCATGAGTTTGATTCCTGGTACCAAAACAAAAAATGATCGTAAGGGTAAACTATACAATATAAGTAATTTTTACATGACTAAAAGAATACAGGAAGATGTACAGAAGTTGTATGCAAATATTGTTTTACAGAAGGAACTAAAGTATTTATCAGAGATTAGAACCCAGGATCTTGAACATGCCAGGCAAGTGCTCTTTCTACTGAGCTATAGCCCCAGCCTATTACTTCTCCTTTGAAATGCAGATAACTTGGCACCTATGCCTGTTGATTTTTTTTTTTTTGCAGTACTAGGGATTGAATTCACGACCTCGAGCTTGCCAGGCAGATGCTTATGCCACTGAGCTAAATCCCTAGCTCGCTTGCTGATTGTTATGATGAGCTTTATTATCGTTTTTACAAATACAAGAAAGAAACTTATTTCCTTAAATCTGTAAAATCAGTAGAATTGATAATAGAACATAGTCTAATTCTATTAAGCCACATAACCAACTAAAATAACCTTAGTGATGTTGCATTAGAGATATCTGGTCCATTTAACAAAACATTATTATATTTGATATTTGAAGTCTATAATAATGTCAATATTAAAAGTGATGAAAAGTTGTGTTTTGAGAGAGGGTCTTGCTTTCACTACGGAGCCAGGCAGGCCTCAGACTTGCAGCAATCCTCCTGTCTCAGCCCCCCGAGTGCTGGAATTAGAAATCCTGCCATTTTTTTTTTCTTTTTTTCGGTACCGGGAATGGAACTCAAGACCACCTCAAGGCAGGTGCTTCTGCCGCTGAGCTAAATCCCCAACTCCCATTTCTTTTTTCATTCTGCCATTTTTTTTTCATCCTGCCATTTTTATACCTGGCAGGTTAAGTAGCAAAATGGATTTCATGTGCCTAATGAAACCTGATTCTAATTAGTGGCTGTTACTATTTCTAAAAAGATATTAATCGAATATTCCTTGCACATGGTCTTATTTTTTTAGGTTCTGGGAATCAAATTCAAGACCTTGTGCTTGCCAGGCAGGTACTTGTACTGCTGAGATATATATATGGTTTTAAAATGTCATATTTTTGCCTTTAAAATCAGAATTATGCTGGTATAGTGGTACATGTTTATAATCCCAGCACTCAGGAGGCTGAAGGAGGATTGTCATGAGTTTGAGGCCAGCCAGGGCTACACAGTGATTATAAGTCCAGCCTGAACTACACAGCAAGACCCGGTCTTAAAAAGAAACAAAATCAGTGCAAGGTCATGAGTTCAACCCTTACTACAAAAAATAGGTCAGTTATAACTGGACATGGTAGTGCACACCTATAAGCCCAGCACTCTGGGAGGCTGATGCAGGAGGATCACAAGTTGGAGCTCAACATAGGCAACTTAACAGACTGAGTGAGGTCCTATCTCAAAAAGGGATTGGGGGCCTGTTGATGTAGCTCAGTATGTGAAGGGCCTGGGTTCAGTTCTCAGTAACCCGCCCACAGAACAAGAATCAGCTATGATATTGTCTATTAATACTGTTTTTCCTATATATAAGCAACTGTGAATTTTCAAAGCTAACGTCCATCAAAAGAATTTTAGTGGTATTACCAGAAATGCATGGATGGTACTTATCTTGCAGGGCTGTTTGTTCAATTATGCAATTAGGTACATTTTAATCAATTAAACACTCATCATTCCCCACTAATGCCAGGACATTCTCAGATATATTATTAGGCACTGTTGATCACAGTTCCAAAGTGGAATCTTAAATTCAAAAGAAAAGAATATACACAGCAAATATCATTCATTTAATCAGGAAATGTTTTTTTATATTCCATGTAAAATAAAAATGTTTAACTGGTCTTTATCTTAATAATCTTTAATTGGGGGCTGCGGATTTAGCTCAGCAGCATAAGCGCCTGCCTTGCAAGCACACAGTCGTGAGTTCAATCCCCGGTACCAGAAAAAAAAAAATCTTTAATCATCAAAGCAAGATTTTGTTTCCCTATGGATGATCCTATCTTATGAAAAGATTTTGAAAGTGGCTTTCAGAGGAAAATAAAACTTCTATGTATGAAGAAACATTATATCCACATCTTCCTCATATTATCTGAACAATCATGTTGGATGCTTTCTCTATGTATCTCTCTCTGCTACAAATAACCTACATTCTCACTGTGTTCCTCAACTACTTGCCCAAACCTTGCTCAGATGTCAGTCCCCTAAGATGTCCTTCTCGATAGCCAGCTTCCTGCAATACTAACTGCTATCTTCGCTATGCTCTTTGCATTTAGGATGCCAGTGTAACTAAAATTTTAATGAGTATATATCAAGTATCGTATTTTTTCCTATTTTCTATTTTGCACTTTTGTCTATATATTGGGGTTCTCATATAAGAAAAACCGTATGGTATTTAAGCTTTGTCTTAAATGCTTAATTACTTAACAGGACCCTGAGGGCCAGTTTCTTGTGGAAATGTAGGGCTGTTTTTTACTCTCAGGTCAGGAGTCTGCCCTCTTGTCATCCCTTTCCTTCTAGCAGAGCTGCAGTGACACTTGGGGCAGGGGCTCGACACTCCGTTGTTCCTAAGATTCAACTTAAGGTCTTAACCTTAAGGTTTCAATGCGTACCCTATTTTCCTACAAATAACTCATTTTTCTTTCTTTATGACAATGTAGTACTCCATTATGCGTAAACACATTTTATCCTTTTTTTTTTTTTGGTAGCCCAAGCTGGTCTTGAACTTACAACAATCCTCCTGCCTTAGCCTCCCGACTGCTGGGATTACAGGCCTGTGCCACCTCACCCGGCTACATTCATGCTGATGGTCATTCAGGCTGCTATTATAAATTACATCACCTTTTGAAGGTAAATATCCACATCGTACAATTTTTATGGTTTTTCCCCTTCCTATACCCTAGCAGACTCTAGTGTATAACAATTCAACATTATTTGATTTGGTTTGTTCAGCCCATTTTACTTACTTTTTGGAGATGAGGATCAAACCCAGGAGCATACAGCATCCTAAGCAGCTGCTTTTCCACTGAGCTCGACCCTTGGCTCGAGCCTAAGTTTAAATTTAGGAAGTTTGTTGTTAAACAGTAAGAAATGGCATTTCTTTGTTAGATAAACTGAGAGACCAGGAATCAACATATTTATGATCCCCATTTCTATGACAAAACAGCATAGATAATGCCCAAGGTAACCCCCAAGGTCAGCTTCTCAGTGCTGCAAGAACAGCTTTGAGCCTTTCTCCAAGTGAAAGGGATGACAAGAGGGCAGACTCCTGACTTGAGGAAAAAGGAGCAGCATTACATTTCCATAGGCTCAGGAGCTTCACGGTCCCGTAGGCATCACATATTTTTCCTGTTCAGGAAATAAGCTCTAAGCAGTTCAGGTACTGGGAAGTCTGGCAGGTATGGATCAGAGACCTCTTGCTAAATGTACTGTAATACCCCAAGGGAGAAAGCCTAACCCTCTCCCTATCTTGCTGAGGAGCCAGGACTGAGAGCGATGAGGGATCAGTTACAGGTGACACTTCCTTCTTTCCAGTGCATTTGATAAGGAAGGCTCTATCTTTACTTTCACCACCTAATGCATATCCCATTTAATCAGACCAGGTTGGGTGAGTTCAGAAATTTTAAATAACCAGGCTCAATCAGAGACCATCCAAAACAGGAGTTCTCTGACAAAGACTATAGTCCAGACACTAGAGATGTGTTAAGATTTACAATAGTCGGCACAAAATGAGAAAAACAAGGACGTTGTGAATTTTAGCTACTTTATTCATTTTTTGACATTAAATACATTTTAAGAAATTGATAACAGGACCTCTTGGTTATATGAAAATGAGGACCACTGAAGGGAGTCTAGGATTGAAGGGAGCCTGGGTCCCTAAAAAAGAGAAAAAAGCCAGGCAATAGTGGTACACATCTGTAATCCCAGCACTCTGGAGGCTGAGACAGGAGTATCGCTGCAAATTCAAGGCCAGCCTAAACTACATACTGAAACCCTACCTCAAAAATGGAGGGGAAAAAAAAATGGTAGTAGGAAAAAAAAAAAAAAAAGTCCCCTATCCCAGACATGAACTGCCTCTGGGCTTCTACATGCCAGGGAATTAAAATTCTAACTGGTTCAATCCACTGTTAATTTAGTTGTCAACTGCAATCATAAATGTTTCCCAACTTCTGTGGTAGCAGCATTGTTTGAGATATGGTACAATGATTAAGGCCAAGCTTATTTCCCATAGAAAGATGTAAGAGCTCTGCTTGAGGAATATGGATCCATTAAAGATGAAAGTCATATTTTAAAAGATATTACTATATTTTGTTTACAACATATGCATAAATACAAATGTTAAGAAATTTATAGGCTATTTAATACTGACAGGCTTTGTCTAAAGAATTTATTTTTAACATATATGAGGATCAGTTAGTGAGAAAGGAAATTCCTAGTTATCATGAAATCTGTATACATTTTCTAAAAGACCTGATTGATCTTTAATATGATGTATTTCATTTAGAATAGCTAAATGAAATTTTGTGTGTATGGTTCTGAAGGCTGATTTATGCTTGTTCAAATTTTATTTCGAGACAGATTTTCATTAAATTGTGCAAGCTATCCTTGAACTTGTAATCCTCCTGCCTTAGCCTCCTGAGTAGTTGAGATTATAGGTGTGTGCCACCTTGCCCAGCTTTCAATGACTTAACTGGCAATATCTTTTAATGTTCTAAATGCCTACAAAATCTTATCATTAAGCATTATTTTACCAAAAGGAATTTTATTTCTAACTTTTTTTCTCTAATAGTTTTTATCAGTCTTTTCTGGATGCTTTTAAAAAAATAGCTAATGGAAAAATCCAAATTTCTCCAACAGAAAAATCTGGAAAACTGATTACTGTACTTCTAGTATATTCCTTCATGGTATTTCAAAAGCTACTCTTAGTTCAAACTAATACCTTTAAAGAGAAATTGTAAAACTCAATTTAATTTCAGGAGTTTGTACATTCAGACCATTTGTCATGTTTTATAAATACAAAGAAGGCAAAGACAGTGATGGTAACCATTATAAGGAGGAAAATGTTATGTAAGCTTTAAAAGGCTACTTTCCATTTCTGTATAAATAATGTGAGGTTTCTGTACCAATGTTATTTATGAAGACTCCATAACTAAGCTATCATTCACTTTCAAGCCCCCACATGAGAAGTGGTAGGTGAGTATCTGTAGGAATATAATTTATTATCTGCTCCTCCACTCAGAAGTAGCTGTGCAAAGAGAGAAAAATACAGAAAAACATAATTATTTCATGTAATAGCCAAGCCTAATTAAATACTGATTACAAAAGGAATTATAGGTAAGCAGGTAACTAGCAATGGACATTAATATTAAAGGGACAAGTTGCAGGAAGTTTCACTTCTTTTTTTGTGGGTACCAGAACTCGAACTCAGGACCTTGGTTTATCAGGCAAGCACTTATGCCACTGAACTACAGCCCCAGCCCTAAGTTTCACTTCTCTTAGGCTAAGCATCCCTATCCCAAATCTCTGCAGTCTGGGCCAAGGATGTAGTTCAGTAGTAGAGTACATGCTCAACACTTGAATCCCTGGATTCAATCACTGGCACTAAAACAAAACAAGCAAAACTCACAAATGAAAATGCTCCAAAATCTAAAATCTTCTGAGGGCACAATGACGCCAGAAGTGAAAAATTATACATAAGGTCTCATGAGATGGGTTACTGTCACAATGTAGAAACACAAAATATTACATAAAATCTCCTTCAGGTTTACATATAGGGTGAATATAAAAAGAAAAGATTCAATATGGAAATGTGTGGCTGGGAATTTAGCTCAGCGGCATAAGCGCCTGCCTTCCAAGCAGGCAGTTGTGAGTTCGATCCCTGGTACCGATAAAAAGGAAAAAGACAAAAAAAAAAAAAAAAAAAAAAAAGTGCCTGCCTGGCAAGCACAAGGTCATGAGTTTGATCCCTGGTACCAAAACAAAAATAATTGGCATATGTACTAGTTCCCCAAGATGGATATAATTAGAATGTATTGCCAACATGTACTCATAAAAACTTTTTTTTTTGGTGCTGGGAATTGAACCCAGGACCTTGAGCTGGCCAGGCAGGTGCTGTGCTGCTAAGCTGTATCACTGGCCCAATAAAAACATTTTTTAAAAATAATTTCATGTTTAGACTTGTGTCTCACCTCCAAGATATTTCATGTATGTGCAAACATTCAAAAATCTGAGAAAACTTCGAAATGCTTCTGCTCCCAAGTACTTAAGATAATGGACACTCAATATGTATTATACAATACATTAAAACATAAATAAAAATGATCATTAGAATTTGGTTGAGGCACAGTTGGCAATCGAGCTTTCTATGAAGCATTTGCTAAGATATGTTATAATAAAATAGTTGGCAACTAACTAAGTTTTACCTAAGAAAATCAAGTTTCTAAAAGATACCATGTTATTTGTACACAATGTATGTTGTAAATAATTCAAGTGGCCAAAGAACTTGTATGTGGAAAGTATTCTGAGGCAGCAACAGCTTATCTATACAGATTTTAAAAAGTTAAGAGGCCAGGGGCCAGGGATTTAGTTCAGTGGCATAAGTCCCTGCCTGGCAAGCACAAGGTCGTAAGTTCAATCCCTGGTACCAAAAACAAAAGCAAAAACAAAAAAAACCTTATATCATAACTTTCTTTGAGGTGGAGGAGACAAGGTCTTGCTGTATAAGTCAGGTTTGGCCAGGCCTCAAATTCATGGCGGTCCTCCTACTTCAGCCTCCCAAGTGCTGAGATTACAAGTGTGCATGACCATGCCTGACTCTAAATTGTAATTTTTTATTATTTATTTATTTATTTAGGTACCAGGGTTGAACTAAATTGTAATTCTTAAAATTGATTTTTGGACCACCCTCCCACTGCTAAATTTGACTAGCTTTAAAAAAAAAATTGATTTTTGTTTTTTTAACCCTGACGACTTACTTCAGGCTGGCCTCAAAATTCTATGTAGCCTATGCTGGCTCACACTCAAGATCCTCCTGCTACAGCTTCCTGAGAGCTAAGATTACAATGTGCCACAACACCCCAATTTAAACACTTTTTTTGTTTGTTTTTGCAGTACTGGGGATTAAACACAGGGCTCTTGCACTGAGCTACATCCCCAGCTTTTCCTGTTTGAGAAAAGTTTTCACTAAGAAGCAGGCTGGCTCAAAGTTGTGATCTTCCTGCCTCGGTTTCCCACAGAGTGCTGGGATTATAGGTGTGCACTACTATGCCCAGTTTAAACACATTTATAATCTATATTTATTATAAAAGATGTTCTGAGAATTCCTTTTTTTTTCAAGGCAGGGTCTCACTATGCAGTTTGAGCTAGCCTTTAACTTACTTTGTAGCCTAGACTGATTTTGAACTTACAATGATCTTCCTTCCTCAGCCTCCCTAGTGCTGGGATTACAGGGGTACACTACCATGCCCAGCCTTGGGAATTGCTCTGATCTGATTAATATGAAGTAGTTTATGGATTTAAAATGTTTAAGACATTTTTAAGAAAAGACTGCTAACTAACCCTATTGCTAGAGAATAGATTTGTTTCTCCTTTGAAAACGGTGAGGTTTTATCATAGAATTATAAAAATTAGATTTTTTTTTTTTGTCTTTTTCCTTTTTATAATTACCAGGGATCGAACTCACGACTGTCTGCTTGCAAGGCAGGCGCTTATACCACTGAGCTAAATCCCCAGCCCCCAAAAATTAGATTATCTTGAAACTAATGCCTTTATAAACACAAATACTAGATTTATTCAAATAATATATTTGACTTTCTACCAAATAACTAAGAGATTCTTACCCCCGTGTCTGTCCAGTCTACACTAAGAACTTTGTCTTCATGAGCAGCCAGATCATAGAGAGGAGCTTTACAACTGAAAGATTAAAATACCAACATGTTACATGCATTCACAGTATTAAACATGAGCAATCAGTTACTCTTTTAAAGGTTGCACAGGATTATCATCCTTCGTCAATCACCATTTCATCTGAACATTCTGATGACTGCCCACTTCACCTGTTTCTTCCTATGTCATTCACTGACTACAAATATATACAGGGAAAATGTTAATTGTAAAAATTTATTCGTACTTAGGCCCATTTTCATACATCTCTCCCCTTTACAGCCAAAGCACAGCTATATGTACCCTCTATCCAGTCATATATATGACAACTCCTAAACTTCTATTCTCAGTCCACACTTCTCACCTGAGCTTGATATGTATATCCAGCTGCTTTACAACTAGATGGAGGGCGGGTGTGGTGGTTTACACCTGGTGGATTACACCTGTAATCCTAGCATTTGGGAGGCTGAGGCAGGATGATCAACATGAGTTTGAGGTCACCCTGGGCTACACAAGTGAGTCTAAGGCCAACCTGAACTACACAGTGAAACCTTGTCTCAAAAAAAGGAAAAGAAACAAACAAAGTGGGGGGGGGGTGACCCCAGCTAGACAGGCACTACCAATTAGATTTAAATAACAAATCAAAGCTCTTGATTTAATTTTAAAAACCTGCTTATCCAGTGTTTTCCATCACAGTAAGTGGCATCACCAACTACCTAAATACTGGACATAAAATGTGGACACTGCCCTTCAGTCCTATCTCCACATTTAATGCTTAAGAATAAAACCTGCCACTTGTTTCTTGTGCCACCATATCTGTAGCCAGAATTCCAACAGCCTTTCTACTTCTGCTCTTCTTTCCTGCTGAAAACCCTGGAAAGCCTTCCCATCACACTTAGAATAGAATCCAAACTCATCAACACAGTCATCAATACTGATGACTACTCACCTCACATCCTACGTTTTTCCTCCCTGCTTACTCTACCAACAGTGGCCTTTTTGCTCTTTTGCCACTATGCCAAAATTATTGTCACTTTATCTGTTGTCCCCTCTGTCATGGTATGTGTGTGGCTTGTACCTTCACATTATATAATTCACTACTAAAACATTTCCAAAGAGAGCTCTTCCCCAAAGTAGTAACCCTTTACCTTGTTTTACTTTCTTCATAGTACATACTACTACTATCAGGAACTATATATTGCTATATAAAAATGTCAATTAAAATGTATACACCTTCTAAATATTAATGTTGTATATGATAAGGTAGTATAGGACTGTCAAAAGCCATATTTTAGATAAACAACAGCAATACAAAAACAAGTACATTAACCCATCTATTTGTAATGGAATATAATTAATTTGAGTACACATTTTATTTGGGCATTCTATATATACATATCACAGCACTAAGCTTATGATAAGGAAGGTTTCTTTAATATCTTTAAAAATTTTTTAAATTTAATCTCCTATTAATATATAATTTATATGAAGGTCAGGATAATCTTTCCAAAGCCTATTTTTATCCTGTTTTATAAGAAAGAAAGGTAGATTTTATAAAGTGTAGGCTTTTAAATTTTGTTTTCTTCGTAAAAGATAACGTAATTATATTTATTCAGGATGCTGAAAACAACAGTATCCTTTGATCCTGTCATTTTTTGAATAACTGTATTTATGAAGTATAATCAAACTTTCTTTTCCTATTTAAGTTATAATAATCATTTCAGCATTCTTTTTTTCTGATATACAACACTAATTGATATCTGTTTTATACAGTATAATTAAATTTACCTTCTTGTATCCCATAGCTTCACAATGTTATCTAAAGAGCCTGAAATCAGCTGTTGTTCATGTGTTGGAGACCACTTTACTGATGTAACCCAGCCTGTATGTGAGGTTAGAGACAGTGACACCAAAGAACCATCTGAAAAAAGCAAAAAAGACAAGTTCTAAATTTTAGAAAAGCAATCAGAACAAACCTAGAAAGTATGTGTAGAAAAACCGTTTTACAGCTCTCAGGGGGATTATACAACTCACCTTTAGTTCGGGGATCCCACAGTCTGATATGTCTATCTGTGCTGCCAGACGCTAAACGTTTACAGAGTGGAGAATAGGAAATACAATTAAACACTTTATTACCTGTCTGAAAAAGAAAAGGAGTAACATTTAACCACAGAAAGCTAATAGCAGCCAGTTTTATAAGTTTACCACTTAACAGACCAAAGGTAACAGGACCACGGAAATTAGGTCTTACCAGAGTTGACTTAAGACTGCCAGACTCAACATCCCACACTCTAATTGTGTGGTCCCAAGATGCACTGCAGATTTCTTCAGCATCTGACCACAGTACTGAGGAAATTGCTTCTGTGTGGCCAGAGAGGGTCACTATGGGAGTCTAGAAATAAAAGACAGCATTTTCATTTCAAAGTAAAGTTACAAACAGTAATAGTAATTAGCTTCCAAAGTCCATATGTTAGATATTTTGCCAAGTGCTTTTGTTTTGCTATCTTGTGATCTTTCTCTTTTACAACAGTCTTCCAAGATGAATATATATGAAGCTGAGAAAGAAAACTTGCAGAGTTGAGCATGGTGGTGCACAACTGTAATCCCAGCAGTTGGGAGGATCCTTGCAAGTTCAAGACCAGTCTGGGCTACAAAGTGAGCTCAAGGCCAGCCTGAACTTCGTAGTGTGACCATCTCAAAAAGACAAAAAAAAAAAAAAAAAAAAAAAAAAAAAAGAAAGAAAGAAAATTTGTCCCAAAGATAACTTGTTCCAAAGTATCTAGTCTTTCTACTATCTTCCGATGCTTACTTTTTTACGTTTTTTTTTTTTGTTTGTTTTTGTTTTTTAAGACAGTCTTGCTATGCAGTTCAGGCTGGCCTTGGGTTCACTTTGTGTAGCCCAGGCTGATCTCAAACTCACAATGATCCTCCTGCCTGTCTCCCAAGTGCTGGGATTCCAACAGTACGCCACCATACCCAGCTTCTGATGCTTCTTTCTCTCTTCTGGTTGTCATTTTGAGGAGTATTAATGTTAACACTAACTCTCCTAAAGGTCAGAAGATTAGTACTAAACAGCCCTCAGATGACCTTAGGCTGACTCTTCTTGCTTGTAGTTCTCAGAACTGTAGAATATATTAGGAATGCAACATCCTGAGATATGGAAGGCTGACCAGAACAGCCCAGCTCTTTCCAGGTCCTTAAAGTTTTGCCTAGGAGTCCCATGACCCAAGGGTAAAAAACCTAGTGCTGATTGCTTTTTGGAAACCTGCTGTCCTGCCAAGTGGGCACATACCAACTTAGGATGGAACCTAGGTTTTTGTTGGCTCTCGGTGCTCCTCTTCAGTGATAATTCCATTTCCTGTAACTTGTCATATGTTAATGTATTACGTCTCACTAGACCCAGGCAATAGTAAAAGTACAGCCCAGGATGCAGTGGATGGAAGTCCTGACAGCTGGCAGTTTGGGTACTATCCTGTATGCAGTGGGAGCCCTTCCTTGGGATCGGTTATTAGTGAATCTGTTTCTGAGCAGAAAAAGTTTTTGGATGCAACAGATCTAGGTTTGAGTCAAGGTGCTGCCATTTGCTTTAAGACTCTTCCAGGTAAATTACTCTCAATACGCTGTTCTCATCATCTCATTCCCTCAGCACCTTTGACTATTATTTAACTTATTTTTATTTAATTATATATTTTTGAGGCAAGGTCTCATTATGTAGCTCAGGCAGGGCTTGAACTTGCTATGGGCCCAGGTTGGCCTCAAATTTACAGCAGTCCCCTTGCTTTAGCCTTCAAAGTGCTGGGATTACAGGCGTGTGCCACCACATCTGAATACTCTTTAAAGTCCATAGTTAATTTTTTAATATTCCAGAATCTCTAATGTCTTTCCCAAATTAAAAAGCCCCAAACTGGGTACAGTGCCTGTCTTAACTGTATAAGGAACATGTAACAGAAAGGAAAGAACTCGAAAATGAGATATCTTTATAAAATAACTGCTATATTTAATATCCTTAAATATTAGGTCATCTGCAATGGAGGGAGGCATTATGCTAGATTAGGGAGCAAACCCTTTCAGTAAAGAGTCAACAAGTAAATATTTTAGCTTTTGTAAGCACATGCAGCTTCTTTAACATATTCTTGTTCATTTTACAACCCCTTAACAATGTAAATGCACTTAATGCTCTATAGTATAAAAATAAATGGCAGCCAAGTTGACTTGTAAAAGGAAGGTAGAGGCCTCTACAATAGAAAACAAGTTAGAAACAGGAAAATGTCTATAAATAAGCTATCACATTCTTAGGTTCACACAAAAATCTGAACATCAATTTTGATAGCAATTTTATTTATAACCATCAAACTGTAAACAATCAGGTACACTTCAACTTGTGAATGAATAAACCAACTGTGGCATATCCAAACACTAGAATCCTCTCAGCATCCAACAGGGACCAATTCAGGGACCTTAACAACAAGGATGAAGCTCATATATTTTATGGCAAGTGAAAAGGCTGATGTGACGAACTATTGTCATTCCATTGATAGGACTTTCTGGAAAAAGAAACTTTATAGGAACCAAGAATAGACCAATAGTTGTAAGGAAACAGACATGAGAGGCAGTGCTGACCACAAAGCGGAAACCTGAGTTTTCGCAGGCAATGCACTGTTCTGAATCTTGTTTGTTACAGTGGTTACACAATTCTGAGTTTATCAAAACACAAGATCCATACTAAAAAAAAAAAAAAAAAAGGAATGCATTTCCCCCATGAAAAAGCCAACACTGGCACTGTTACTATAAACAAACTAATGTGGGTTAATACTTCAGGGGGAAAAAAGTAATTTTGAGACTAACAGAGGAATAAATCTTACTAAATGTTTAACACATGAAACAAATGACACCTGGCAACATGACTCATGTTAGTTCATATCAGGTACTATAAAGGAATGCAGCAAGAAGGGAACTTGGTATGTGTCTTATCTCATTTTCCCGTTATTTTTCTAAAGTCCACATTTTTCTATTGTTTCTAATGATGGCAACTTTTACTACAATTAGCTCGTCAAGGTTTTCTGGCATGATTTCAATTAATAAATGTACACCTGAGTTTAAGTTCCATAAAAAGCTAAAGGGCAAAATGAAGGTAATATATTATTTCTCTCAAACAAAATAAACAATGGATACAAGCTTATGGAAAGTACATCTCTAAAATAAAAGGTATCAACAAGGTACTGAGGAGAAGAAAACATTTTCTATAGATATCCAGCAAAGAACCTGAATGCAGAATACACACTGAAAGTCAGTAAAAACACAGGCAAAATACTTTTTAAAAATAGACTAAAACTGTGCACACTAGCACATGTAACCCAGCAACTTGGGAGATAAGGCAGGAGGACTGCAAATTCAAGGCCAGCCCATGTCTCAAAATAAAAAATAAAAAGGGATGGGGCTCAGTAGTTCAGTGGTAAAGTACCTCCAAGTACTAAGAGAAAAAAAAATAAGAAAAAGGATAAAACATCAACAGGCATTTCACAACTAAGTATCAAAAATTGGACCCAAGTTAAATTCATCACTGAAAATAGATGAAATGATATACTTCTAAAGAAATAAGTTAATATGTTGCCAGATACACACTGGCAGGCTATACTTATAGAAGAGAATCTCTCGAGCTCAGAAATTCAAGCCCTGCCTGGCAAATCAGCAACTTAGTGAGACTTTATATAATATTCTTACATGTTGTAAAATGAAGTGAAAGTGGATATAATCCATTTTGGAGAATTTTTATCATTATGAAACATTCAGAAAGTAAGCTGGGCACACTGGCCCGAACCTGAAATCCTAGCTATTCCAGAAGCTAAGGCAGAAGGGTTGCAAATTTAAGACCAGCCTAGGTAACTTAGTGAAATGTCTCAAAATTAAAACTGAAAACAGGACCTGGGATGTAGCTTAGCGTACTTTACTTGTTTAGCATGGGTTCAATCTCTAGCACTACTTAAAAAAAAACCCACAGGTGTATGTATGTGTATGTATGACCTAGCAATTTTTTTTTTTATTTCCACATATGCAGAATGATTGCAAACATAATCCATAAGACAAGAAAGAACTATTTTAGATTTATTTTCATCAGTCACAAACTGGAAACAATCTAAACATCCATCAGAAAAAAAATGGAAAAATTACAGTATATTCATGTAATAGAATGCTACATATTAATGAAAAGAACTGCTGTATTACACGTAGTAGTATGACTCTCATAGATATATGAAAATTAGAGAGCTGGGTATTTAGCTCAATGGTGTAAGTGCTTGCCTGGCAAGCATGAGGTCGTGAGTTCAATCCCCAGTACAAAAAAACAAAAGAGAAATCCCAAGAGGTATAAAATCAGAGGATTTAATTAAAAAGAAAACTTACCTTTTCAGTAAAAAATTATTATAACTCAAGAAAGCTTTTTCTATTCAGATATATTCTTTACACGTCTGATCAGATATATACATGGATACAGACCACTGGTGTATTTAATATTTAACTCTAAGGTACTGCCAGTTTTAATGTCCTAAACACGGCCTGGTGGCTCACACCTGTAATCCCAGCACTTGGGAGACTGAGGCAGGAGGATCATTGTGAGTTCAAGACCAGTGTAGGCTACAAAGTCAGCTCAAGGCCAGCCTGAACTGCATAGAGAGACCTTGTCTCAAAAAGACAAAAAAAAAAAAAAAAAAAAAAAAAATCAACCCTGTACCATGTCCTACCTAAGTAAGGAAACTGAGTACCCATCAGATCTTTTGTGTTGAAGATCAGCAATCTATGATTAGATGTATTAAAAAGTTTAAATCATTATTTTCAGCGAGAAGCAGCAGGTGCTATTGTTCAGGGCATCCTATGTGAGTTGAATAAATCACTTATTATACTTTAATCCTCATATCAACAAGTTTTATCTCACTGGTAACTATAAGAACTAATACACAAACATTGCTTGATTACTGCTCACTTATTACAAACATTAGAGAATAAATGGAAGATGTTTGGTTGTTATCAGGCTACCAAGCTTGCCTAGTGCTACCACATCAAAGATTCTGAGAAATGCAGCCATATAGTGTTTAAAACAATTTACAAGCCTATTGCGAAAAGTGTAATTATGGTTGAAGAAATAAGGCAAGATAAAAGAAAATCTAAATAAAAAAGACTATATTAAATTCCCATATATTCATCAGTGCTGACCTAAGCCAGGCACAGTCTATTCTCACTAATACCTACCCTTGTTAGTCCTAACTGCTCTGTTTTCTGTTTCTTTCTTGGTCGATTTGTGGATTCTTCCATTTCATCTTCTTCATCTGTTGGGACTGTATTAAGGAGAATTAGACTTGATACTTTAACAATGTGAGAATATTAACAGCACATTTTCTGGAAGAATTTTCTGCATTTTTAGTACACAGTTTTTCTATGTAGTTAACAGCAAGTTATATATAAAACACAATACCTGGATTGCCAGTCTTCAAAAACAAAAAATAAATAAAATTTAAAAACTAAAACTTAGTTTAAAATCTTGCCATGTGTCCTCAAAATGAGCACTGTGAAAATGGATCACTTTACCACAGGCATGAAAAACTGCTGTTAGTGCTAGGAGTTATGACCAGGTTGCATTTATGTTATTGTAGGAGATAATAAGGTAAACACATGTTCAAAGGAGATACTCCAGCATATTTATTCCCCCTTGGCTATTTCACTTTCTACCCAAGCAAAGTCTGCTAAGTTACTTTGTTTTGTTTCTGTGGTACTGGGAATCAGATACAGGGACTCCTGCTGGATCACTTAGCACTCTCCAAGCCCCTCAGTTTGATTTTATTTAAAAAAATCTTTGTCATATCTTTGGTTAGGTAGTATATCCCAACTGAAAAATACAGATTTTAATGCTTTGTAACTTTCATCAACATTAATCTAGTTATAGTTAATGGTGCGCCACTTATCCAGCATTGTCAAAAAATATTCTACAAAGGAAAATTATCTAAACTGCTTTCTTCCTCAAAGTTATTTACTCTGGTAAATTTTTTTTTTATCGGTACCGGGATGGAACTCACGACTGCCTGCTTGCAAAGCGGGCGCTTATGCCGCTGAGCTAAATCCCCAGCCCCTACTCTAATAAGTTTTATAAAATCTAAAATGGATATGTTTCCTGTCATGACACATAATTATTCAAAACTGCTCAAAATTTTCTTGATCCTTTTCAATTCATTTGTAAACTGCTTGTTTACACCCTAATACAGCAAAATCCCTCAGAAGTTATGGAGATACTTGAGTCTAGTTTAATAGCTCTAAACTGTGTTTTAAGGTTTAAAAATTTCTGTTTTTTCCCCTTTTCTTCCCATCACTGTCTCTAATCTCAAGGCATTTTCCTATGAGTCTTCTTTCCTCTCTCAATTATTTCCGTTTATCCATGTTTTCATAGTAAAACTATTAACCTTGGTAAAAATGCATTGAAATAAGTTTTAAAAGTAAACCAGATTGAAAAATCCATCTAATAGTAAAATGACTCAAAATCTTTTTTTTCCCCTTCCTGAGACAGGGTCTCACTATGCAGTTCACGCTGGCTTTGAACTCACTATGTAGCCTAGGCTGACCCTGAACTTGCAGATATCCTCTTGTCTCAGCCTCCCTCAGGGCTGGGATTACAGGCATGTGCCTCCACGCCCAGCCCGAAAGCATTTTTAAATGATTTAAAGTAAATCAAAATTATTCAAAAGCTATTTTATTTCTAGGTTCCTAAACAAGGGAGCTCTGAATAAGGTAGTTCTGTTCTAGTATCTACACCAAGCATTTGGTTGATACCTGCAGCAATTCAGTGACCTTTGTCAGTACAAAAGAGGTTTTAAAAAAAAAAAAAAACTCCTAAATTGCACAAGAAATTACTAATTTGTCACCATACTCTGTATTTTTCCCTATGTCCTAAAAAAGCTGGTATATTTATATGGCAAAATGTGGGTTAAAAAAAATCATCTGATGACTGGGTATGGTGATGCACACCTGTAATTCTAGACCTCAGGAAGCTGTGCTACAAGTCTGAGGCCAACCTAGGCCATACAATTCAAGGGCAGTCTAAACTACACAGCAAGACCCTGTCTCAAGAAACAAAACAAAACAACCACCACAAAACAAAAACCAAAAAATCTCACTGAAATGCTTGCAATATCATTAATAAATCAAAGAAATACTTAACTCACCTGCAGACCAGATCTTTAGCATCTTATCCCAGGAGCCACTGCAAAACTAAATCGATATATATGAAAAGAAAAAGCATATGTAATAAAACTCATTATTTGCCCCTTTTTCCTGCTATTTGATTTTAAAACCTTTAATATGCTTGCTTTGTCTCTGTGCAATGGCTCTGAAATCATTTACTGCCATGGTATTGGTTGCCCAGCTTCTTACTACCCTTAACCTGCATGGCCACTGAGAAAGCTGCTAGCCTTGTGTTGCCCTGTGCCCTGGCCATGCTTGGTTAGACCAGGGTGGGGAACTGACCTATACTGTATCAGTAGGCCTTTTCCTCATTCAGTATCTTAAAAAAAAAATTATGACCCAGAAAACTGAAGTTAGTTTTTTCCCAGGGGCAGATAGTATAGGGCATAAACCCCGTCAATTACTGAAGTCCAGGTCCAATGCCATGTGGAGAAGGGCACTCCCAGATGAGAGAATACAGTTGATCTAGGGAGACGGAAGAGGGTGACAGGCATATTCCACTGGTCCTGAAGGCCTAAATGTATTATCACACTTTTTTTTTTGTACCAAGGACTGAACTCACAACCTCATGCTTACCAGGTAAGTGCTTGAGCCACTGAGCTAAACTCCCGGTTCTTTATTTGTCTTTTTGAGACAGGGTCTCACTATGCAGTTCAGGCTGACCTGAGTTTACTTTGTAGCCCAGGCTGGTCTCGAACTCGCAATAATCCTCTCGCCTTAGTCTTTCTTCGACTCCCAAGTGCTGGGATTACAGATATGCGCCACCACACCCAACTATATCATCACTCTTTGCATGATGGGTTTGGTTGTTTACTTTTTCTTTAGATATCACATACCATTAAATGTTCTCATCTTTTTTTCGGGGGGGGGGGGGGGAGTACCACGGATCAGACTCATAACATTGTACTTGCCAGGGAGGCCCTTGTGCTGCTAACCTAAATCCTGGGCCTATTCTCATCTTAAGCCAAGTTAAGAGGAGTTTCTACCTCTTGTAAGCAAAAGACAAGATATAATTAATTCACCAAAATAAACCCTTTTTGCCTAAATATGAAATATTGATTGTCATTGTACAAAAGAGAGGAAAAGAAAGTAATCTAAACGATATAACTGCATGTATATTTAAGTGTATAAGATAGATAATGATATCACTGAGTTTTGTTGGATCATTGAACAGAACTGTTTGCAGTCTCACTGTTGGAATGTCCACTTTACAAGCTTTAATTTTGTGACTTGAACAATTATTTCTAAGATGACAATATGTAATCCATTAACTAGTGATTTCCTACTGTTTATTTTTTTCTGTAAATCCGTATAACTTGTACCCTTTCTGTGCTTTTTTTTTCCTTAAATAAAATTTAAAAAAAAATTAAAAAAAAAAAAAGAAATATTGAATACATCGAATGTCCTGTTATCCCCACTGCCAAAGAACTACTAAGGAAATACTATTAAATCCAGAGTTCTTCAGTATGGCATAGGGAACTTTCAAATTGTAAGAGGGTTTGTAACCCCTCACAAGCCAATATAGTAATTCTATCAGGTCTGTGTGTCCTTTTAACTTTTACCATTTTGTCCTGATAAAGAATAGATCAAGGCTGGGCATGGTGGCAAAGGCCTATAATCCCAACACTCAGGAGGTTGAGACAGGAGAATCATTGCAAGTTCAAAACCAGCCTGGGCTATAAAGTGACCTGAAGGCCAGCTTCAACTGTATAGTGAAACTCTGTCTCAAAAAACAAAACAAAACAAAACAAAAGATCCACACTGATAGTAAACTTTTAACATTATTCTTTTTTATTTTAATCGGTACCAGGGATTAAATTCACGACTGTGTGCGCTTGCAAGGCAGGCGTTTATGCCGCTTAGCTAAATCCCCAGCTCCTAACATTACTCTTAATGTACGTTAAAACTCAGGTGACTGCTTAACCATTTTAAACAGATGACAACAATTAGAGTAGCTGATGTATTTAAACTATCATTTAAGAAGGTCACAGAAAAAAATTCTTGATTCACTTGATTTCTTTAAAATTTTGTAATTTATAATTCCAAACTCTGGCAGTTAAATCTTTGTATCTCTTATTGTATGAGCACAGTATTTACTTTGGGTTTGAAATCATATTCTTTAGGTACTGACTGTTTTTAAAATAGGACAAAAGGAGGGCATAGTGGCACATGCCTGTAATCCCAGCACTTGGGAGGCTGAAGTAGGAAGACTGCTTCAAGTTTGAGGCCAGCCTGAACTATATAGCAAGACCTGGTCTTAAAAAAAAAAAAAAAGAAAAAACAAAAAACAAAAACAGCCATTGGACCCTACATAGAAAAATGTTTTAGTGAGATGCTTAAATTCTTAACACACTTACTTTAGTTCCAGAGCTATCAACTGCTATAGAATCCACACTTCCAGCATGACCTCTACAGCAGTGTAGAGCTTTTACTTTATTTCTTTCTACACTCCATTCCCATAGGAGAATAGTCTGATCCATAGAGGCACTCAGTAGTAAGCAAGACAAACTGTCTGGGAGAGAATGCAAGAACAAAAACCAAATTAGCTCAAAAGTACAAACCCACACTGAAAAATTCAAACTTTCTGCTGGTGCTAAAAGAGTGAATAAGCTCATATGGCCAACTTATGAAAACCAAGGGTATAAAATGGAAGTTTCTTCAAACACAGAAGATACATTGTGTCACACACCTATAATTCCAGGACTACCTGCTGAGGCAGGAAGATTACTATAGAGTTCCAGGCCAGCCTGGGCTACCAAGTGAATTAAAGGTCAGCCTGAATTACATAGCCAGATCCTGTCTCAAATACCAAACAAACAAACAAAATCCAAAAAAACAACAAAAAAAGATAAGCATGTAACATAATAAATCTGAAAATGTACACAGCATTATGTAATTTTAATAAAAAAGTTTCTATTAATCTATAGATTTAAAAACACAATCTTTTTCTTTTTGAACACTATGTTTTTGAAAGTCCCCACAATAATTGAAGCATGAGAAACTTCTTACCCATCTCCCATTCTCCTCCTGCATTTAGAAATGGCTTATATATTTCCAAATCCCTACCTAAGATTCTTCTTGGCTTAAGAAAAGATTTCTACCTTTTTTCACCCAGGCCACATCTTTTACAACATCTGTATGTCCCACAATTGTCATTATTGATGTTCCTTCCAAGGACCAGATCCGAGAAGTTTTATCATAAGAACCAGTCAAAATCCTAGAATGAGAAGAAAGAACAAAAGAAAATAAGAAACTATGAAATACAAAAAGGACTGAAAATCAATTGTGTTTCTATAGCAATGACAACAGAACCCTTGGAGATTATAAACTTTTCTTCACATATGAATCAATATTTCAAAATTTATTAGGCTAGATCAGATATTACACTTAAGTTTTCCTTACCTACTAAAAATAATAAACAACAATGCCTAGATTTAACTTTTACTTTTTGACTTGACTACAAATCTCAGAGAAGATATGCAAATTGCTTATAAAGCTTAACAGTCCTTTGTAATAAACAGTAAAAACAGTGAAAAATAGGATGGGGGTACAACACTGGGCTAGAGTGGTTTTGCAGCATGTATGAGCCCCTAAATTTAATCTCCAACACCAGAAAACAAAATTTCAAAAAACAGTAAAACCATTTAAAGTGAAACCATAAGAGTAAAAACATAACTTTATGCAATAATTAGAGATTTATTCTTTGAAAATAAGCTTCTCTTCTGATCTGCTCTTGAGGTGTTTTTGTACAAGTAAGGCTGACAGGGTTTTGGTTCTTACTTGATTTCTAGTATGACCATTTTAGCTCTAAAATAGTATGATCTATATCATCAGGGTAGAGAGCCTAGAGATCTTTAGCTATAAAAGTTACTTTTTCCTTTATGAAATAAAATATAAATTCAACCAACTGTAAAACCAAATGAATTAAATGGTTTAAGACACTTGTCTTATACAGAAGGCAAATGTCACTAAAGTATCTTGAAACAGAAAAGAAGACCTATGTTAAACCCCAAGCCTTTGCACTGACCTACACCCCAGCCCTTTCTATGTAAGGGTCTTAGTGTTTCCCAGGCTGGCAGTGAACTTGCAATTCCCTTGCTTTACCCTCCTGAGCAGCTGGGATTACAGGCATTTGCCACCTTGCCCAGTACTGGTTTTCTTTTGAAATACAGTGAACGCAAAGATCATTCTGTTTGGCCCTGTCACTGATTATTTACAAATCACAAAATTATTGTTCACACAGTAGATTATTAAAAAGACTGAAGAAGCCCAGAAGGAAACAGAAGCACATTCATCTGGCAGTACCATTCCTCTGCCCCTTTGACGGCGCTGACCCAGTCATCATGGAACATGCACTGCTCGGGCTGGGGGGCGGTATACTTCTCCACATATTCCAGCTCCACAACTTCTTCCTAGTCAGGGAGAGAAACCAGCAGTCAACTAGGAGGTACGGTTTTAAAGTATTATTATGCAGATAAAGCACTGTATCTGCAGAAGTATTCCAATTTACTGTATCTCCTTCCTAAGTCCCTTTCATAATCCAGAAAATTTAGAACCATTCTAAAAGTCAAAAACTTTATTTGGTCTAACAGAATGCTAACAGTAATAATGAAAAAATAGAACTAAGTTTGGAAAATTTATGTAAACCTGTGTGTGGACAACATACAAGGAAACTACCATTTTTTAGCTTTTCCTCCCTGGCTGTCTAAGGACCTGCTGCCATTCTAAATGACACAGTAACTGTCCAGACCCCAGAAGGTCATGTGCAGCCAACTCCACCAGAGGAAACAAATGGTCAGTGATGCACTTCACCATGGGAAAGCAACAGTTCCTAAGATAGAAGTTCGAGAAAAACTCACCAAAATGTACAGCACCAGATGTCATTTTTGTGTTTAGATTCAGAACCCCTTTTGATGCTGGCAAGACAACTGGTTTTGGTGTGATTTATGATTCCTTGGATTATGTGAAGAGAAATGAACCTTCACATAGACTTGCCAAGATATGGTCTATATGAGAAGAAAAAGACCTCAAGAAAGCAGAGGACAGAAGAAAGTCCAAGGGCGCTACAAAGGCTAACATTGGTAGTAGCGAAAAGTGAACTGGAGATTAGAGATGGCCAAAGGAGTAATGATTCTGCAGTGAAGTCAGACATCAAGGTACACTCCTGTAATCCCAGCGGAGGTAGGAGGATCTTTTCAAGTTCGAGACCAGCCTGAGCTACAAAGTGAGCTCAAGGCCAGCCTGAACTTCATAGACACCCTGTCTCAAAAAAAAAAAAAAAAAAAAGAAAGAAAGAAAGAAAAGATTCTGCAGTTTCTATCTGTGGTGACTACAACTTTTTCATGACAGGATTAATAAACTATAAAAATTTCAAAAGAAAAAAATGTTTTTAAAAAATCATAAACTTATACTGTTGGGTGGGTACAAAGTGTCTATTTAGGATGCAGCAGTTCTGGAAATGGGTAATAGTGATGGTTATATAATACTGTGATATATTTCATGGCACTGAATTATTTACTTAAAAATGGTACCTTTTTTTTTTGGTCTGGGGGATCGAACTCACGACCTCACATTTGCAAGTTGGCACTTATGCTGCTGAGCTAATTCCTTGGCCCCATAAAAATGGTAAATTTTATGTTGTGTGTATTTTACCACAATTTGCTTTTTCTATACCTGCCTGACCCTTACTAGGAACTGAATCTAATGCCTTTACATTGAGCTACATTCTCTAGCTGTTTCTTAATTTAGATTTTGAGAGAGGGTCTCATTAAGTTTATTTTAAACTTAAACTAATGCTATCTCATTTTAAAACAAACCTCAGAAACATTGCCCAGGCTCGGGTTCAAATTTGTGATCGATCCTCCTGCCTAAACTGGCCAGAGTACTGGGATTACAGACATGTGCCATGCATATATATCTTTTTTTGTTGTTTTGAGATATATAGTTCAGGCTGGCCTTGAACTCTTGCCTTAGTCTCTTGACTATTGGGATACAGATGTGCACCACCATGCCCAGCTTGTAAATTATATTTTTAATTATAAAAGCAGTATTAAAGACGTTGTGAAATCTCAGAGGATGAATCACAATAAATCACAATAATCTACCTCCTAGTTTTTAAATATGCATAATTTTTTTTATTCCTGTCAAGTGTTTACATATATTTGCTATTCCTTTTCTTGCACATTCTTTCAATATGAAGAATGTGTTTATTCATCTGTATTTTCTTGAATAAAATACTCTCATTAAGAAGATTTTAGGCCAGGTATATAGCTGAGTGGAGCAAGCCCTTGCCTGGGAAGCGCAAGGTCCTGAGTTCAATTCCAAGTACAAACAACAAAAAAAAAGATTTTAAAATTTAATATATAAACTGAAGTTCAAATTTATAGAAAAGACCTATAATCAAAGAACGTTGATTACAAAAGATAGACTCAGCTTGGTTACATAAGGTCCAGTAACTGATGATGACAGTTGATAACTGAAGATAGTCATGAACTTACTGATGAGATGTTTTCCACTTCCATGTGCTTGGCCAAAGGCATTCGTAGAAACTGGCCTTTGATAAGGAAATCGAACTCCACATATTTGTGGAACTCTAAAGAAAACAGTAAAATTGTTATCTATTAAGAGTGTGAAATGTTATTGGCACAGACATAGAACTCCTGAAATCAACAGGTACCTTTTATCCCAGTGTGGCCTCTGAGTGTCTCTAGGACTTCTTTTGGCGTATCAGACAAATGTATTTGCAGGATACCATGTGATTTTTTTTTTCTTTTTTAGAACTGAAATATGTTGTTCTGTTAATATACAGTTATTGTTGCTAATATAACTTTTTTTTGGTGCTGGGGTTGAACACAGGGCCTTGTGCTTGCTAAGCACATGCTATCATCACTGAGCTGTATCACTGGCCTTATTTTGATTTTTGTTTGTCTTTTGAGGCAGGGTCTCAAACTATGCAGCCCAGGTTGGTCTCTAACTCACAATATTCCTGCCGCAGACTTTGAATGCTGAGATTATGGGTGTGTGCTATCATATCTGGTTCCTATGTTTTTAAAAAATGTTATTCTATGGAAAATTCCAAGCATATAAAAGTAGAAATAACAATGAATCACTATCACACATCTTGACATCAACCAACTCAAGAATAATCATTAATATTCTCCTCTGCTGGTTTATTCTAAAGCAAACCTCAGAAATTAGTTCATTTCTTAGTGTCTTACTATATATCGCCGAAATTTAAAGACTTAAAAATATTAGTTGTAATGTTAGAAAATTTACAAATTATTCCATCTGATATCAAATACCCAGTACCACTGCATTTGTTTTAGAGTAGGCTTTTTAAAATCAGCATCTGAAGTCCATACATAGTATTTGTTAATGTTTCTTTTAACCATCAACAGTCTTTCTTCCTTTTTTCTCCTTGCCATGTATTCTTGAAGACAGTGGGTTATGTTTGTTATAATCTTTCTATATACTAGGCTTGCATAGTCACATCCAAGCTGTTGTTTTAGGCAGGAGGGGTATTAGGCATTGAATGTAAGGCCTTTGCACTAAGCCTGGGGCCTCAGCCTATTTTTCTTTTTTGTGAGACAAGGTCTCATTAAATCACTAAATTGTCCAGGCAAGTCTTGCAATCTTCCTGTCTCAGCCTTCTAAAGTGCCAGGATTAAAAACATATGCCATCATACCCAGCTGCCATGGTGTCTTTTACCATGCTCTTTATTACTTATATAACCTATAAAATACTCAGATTAATGTTCAGTAAGATTCACATTTAATTCATTTTTGGCAAGAAACTTTATAGAGGCTTCTGTGTATTTCCTATATATTGGAATGCATATATCTAATTGTGTCTTTTCTAAAATCCATGCTTGTTGGCACTTGTCTGCAATCCTAGCATTCTGGAAGGCTGAGGCCGGAAGATTACAAGTTCAGCATGCATAACTTGCAACTTAGTAAGACCCTTTCTGAAAATAATAAACAAAATGTTAAGAACTGACATATGTGAACCAGGGATATAGCTCAATGGCATAGTGCCTGCCTGGCAAGCATGATGTTGTACGTTCAATTCCTGGCACAAAAAAAAAAAAAAAAAGGTAAAAAAGATTGACCTATGTGGTCAATGATGTCAGACTGATCCCATTGTTTTCTGTCATTAACCTGTTTAATGATTGTAGTAGTTATTAATATAATCACTATATATATTCATTGTTTGATTTATAGTTGGCAATGGTAATAATATAATTCTATTATTCTACATTTATTAGCTATACTCCTAAAAGAGTTTCCTCAACAATTATCTTCATTTGAAAATGAAAGCAAAAAAAAAAAAAAAATTATCTGACTTGTTATTCTTTAAAAATCGGAAGTCTGAATCAATTTGCATTTTTAACTCAAGCATGACTCAGTTCTTTCATTTATACAAAATGACAAAACATTTAGTCTATAAACTCAGAAAAATTCATAAAGACAACTTTGTATCAGTTATCTGTATGCATCCAAAATGAAAGTAAAGACAAGTATCAATTGCAAATGTTCAGTAACTATCTCTGAATCAAGAACTGCAACTTGCTAGCTAGGAACAATATAAGCCCTGCTAATTTTGTCATCCCCTCCCAAATTAAAAAAAAGTGATTGCCAGGTGTGGTATCATACACCAGTAACCCCAGCACATGGGAGGCTGAGGCAGAAGACTGCTGCAAGTTTAAGGCCAGCCTAAACTGCACAGCAAGACCCTGTTTCCAAAAACAAAACAACCAAATTTTGTTTTTCGAAGTCACGTTTTATGTCATTTTTAATTTTTCATTTAAAAGTTTTTGTATTTTATGTTTCATTACATTTTTAAAAAAATGTATTACAGAACATTCCAAACATATAAACATGTAAAATAATACTTTCATATATCCAGCTTCAACTATTATCAACTTATGAATTCTCTTCATCTGTATTTTTTTTTTCACGTCAGATGGGTAATGTGCCGAGGTCGTAACAAGGTTCAAAGGAGGCACATGTCATGCATAGAGCATGAACACCCAATTATCACGCTTATGAACCTGAGGATCCTTCATCTGTATTTTTATGTACATTGTTTATATTTATTGGCAAAAAGCCTATTTTAGCACATATACTAGTATATGTATGCTTAATTTTTATCTGTTTCTTATTTGATATTCTTGTGTTTATACATTTTGGCTATGTCTATTACTTTATGAATTCTGAACATAAGAAATGAAATGGCAGTATTAACCCTAGCATTTTGTTATTACATAAAATTACAGTTCAATTCAGATACTGATATCTCATGCTTTACCAATAAGCAGGGCCTATGCACCAAGATGTGTGCTTTGTACCTATATAACCCAGCCTTCCATGGTACAATCAGTGTCTGTGTTAACCACTAGTAACACATTGTTAGTATACTAAAATATATTTTCTTAATTTTATGGGGTTTTTTTGGTACTGAGAATCAAACTCATGACCTTGTGCTTGCAGACAGGCACTTGTGTCACTAAGCTAAATCCCCAGCCCCTAGTAGGCTAAAATCTTTATTCCCTAATTTACAACCTCTTTAGCTGTATATTGACTGAAAAAGTTATAGAAATAATTTTTCCTGAACACACTTTTCTTTCAGAGTATGTTGTAATTTATAAATTTCACTGCTATGAAATTCATAGCTTTTGGGGTTGGGGGTACCAGGGACTGAACTCATGTGCTTCCCAGACACACACTGTACCACTGAGCTATATCCCTGGCACATGAAATTCATATATTGAGAACAAAAAATATATTTTAGTGAGGTTAGTGGCTCTGGGCCTTCCGGTAACTTCTCAGAACATATATACCCACCATTTTTGGCCTCCAGCAATTTATTGATGATGTTACTAAGGTCAGCAATTTCAGAGCTGGCAGGGATTGAGAAAGGAACATCATCTACTGCGTATCTATAAAAAAAGATGATATGTCAAGATCAAATGTAAAGATATTTTAACAAATGTGCATTTATTCATTCAACAAACATTTACTGGGTACCAACTACATGTCAGATATTTTGCTACATGGAGTAAACAAAATTAATTAATAAGTATTCCTTCTCAAATACAGTAAAGCTATATATGTCACAATAAAGCTAACATCGCATTATTTATAAGCTAATGTATATTAATAATTATTAGCATATTAAGAAGCTAATGTAGCTTTATTAATAAAGCTAATGTAATATCATAAATGACATTATATATAGTGAGAGAAGAGAAAGTTAATAGGTCATTTTTTTTGAGACAGAGTCTCACTATGTAGTTCAGGCTGGCCTTGAATTCACTATGTAACTCAGGCTAGCCTCAACCTCTCAGTGATCCTCCTGCCTCAATCTCCCTTAGAGTAACACAGGAGACTAATTAGGAGACTCAGAGGATGTGAGAAAACATTTGCAAATCATACATCTGATAAGGAACTTGTATCTAGAATAGGACACCTATAACTCAGCAATAAAAATCAAATTTTAAAATGGGCAAAGGACTTGAAGATGCAAAAATAGCCAATAGGCACATAATAAGATGCTCATCACAAGTCAACAAAGACATGCAAATGAAACTACAATGCAACATCCCTTCATACCCGTTAGGATGGCTATAATAAAATGACATAATACCATCTGATCCAAGAAGTCCTTTTAAGTAAGTGCAAAGAGAAATGAAAATATGTTCACACAAAACTTGTACACTAATATCCATATAACCTCTATTCATAATGGCTAAGGGGGAGAAACAAACTAAATGTCTAAAAACTGGACATCAATAGGAAAATGCAGTATATCCAAACAGAATATTATTTAGCCATAAAAAGGAATTACGGACTAAGCCAAACTACTGCATGGATGAACTATGAAGACACCGTAAGAGTTGAAAGAAGCAAGTTACAAAAAACCATTTATTATTTCATTAATGCAAAATGTCCAGAATAAAGACATCTATAGAGACAGATAACCAGTGACCGCCTAGGGCTAGGTTATCAAATGAAGAAGGGGACCCTAAAGGGTAATGAAAAATGTTTTAAAATTGACTATAGTGATGGTTGCAAACCTGCTAATATAATGCTGCAAGTTTTCAAACTACACTTTGAGTAATAACAGCTGTATATTTATCATGACCTTCCAAAAGCAAGCTGTTATTTTAGTTCTCCAAGAGGTAATAAAACCTAGAAATTAAAATGTTTAGTTCTTTAACTTAATACTGTGGTCAATAAAATGTGAGGAAAAAGTAGCATAGCTTTCTTTAACATATACGCACACACACACACACCATCACAATACATGTCAATAATTTCCCCCATTTTACTGATCAAAACATATTAATTAAAAAAAGGAAGAAAGGGCTGGGGATTTAGCTCAGCGGCATAAACACCTGCCTTGGAAGCAGGCGGTCGTGAGTTCAATCTGGTACCGAAAAAAAAAAAAAAAAAAGGAAGAACGAACCTTAATATCCAACTTTCGTAACTTTTGGAAAAGCTAAATACAGACACAGAGGCACACATACGAAATTCACCCTTTTATTTTTGGAATTAAAATACAGTAGTATATGGCAAGCACAAGGTCCTGAGTTCGATTTCCAGTACCAAAGAAAACAAAACAAAGACATACAGTAGTACATTATTTTTCACAACACCAGGTGAATAATTAATTCAAAAATTTTAATACACACATACCATTACACACTCAAATTTGTAACCGAACTGATTTAGCATTTTCATCAAAATCCAGGTCCAACAAAAGTAGATTTAGAGATCCATCTGTTGTCCTGGTTTAGAAAAGCATCTTCTATCACTTAAGAAAACCTGAAGGGTGCTTTCAGAAACCAGGAAAGCCACTCCCAGCAGGCTGGACTGTAGGCGCAGGGCCTACTATTCACTGCGCAAGTTGAGCGCACTGCACGCACCTCTCAGCAGCGCGCTCGAAGCTCTTCTGTTCCACCGCACACAGATTTAACCACGCGCTGCGGGTAAACGCGGCCGAAAAGAGGGGAGGTCGCAGCGCGGGCGAGGGGCCCTGAGAAGTCCCGCAAAGGCACTGCAGAAAGCAGCAGGCGAGCGGCTCGAGACAGGCATCGCCTGTAGAGGTGTGTGGGGGACGAAGCTGACAGCCAAGACAACCCGGGAACCACAAGGCCACAACGCGGAGGGGGGGTCCCCTGGTGAGACCCAGGGAGGGGAGAGAGGTGCGAAGGCCGGGCCGCTCACTTACTTCTTGTTGTCCGTGAAGAAGCGTGTCTGGAGCTGAGCCATGGCGGGGAGCACAGGCAAGCCTTGCCTCCCAAAACGTCTAGGGCAGTACTACGAAAACAGAGCTTTCGTCTCCTCGGACTACAAAAAGAAGTAGCTCAAGATTAGATTCCGCAGACCAGCGAGAGCCGTAGGCGACCCGGCTTCCCTTCCTCCCTGGCGTGGGTCTCCAAGCAGAGGTACCACGAGGTTTCCTGACACACGGCCTAGGCCGCGCACGTCGACTACCTATCCCTGGATCAGGAATCATCGATGAGTGGAGTGCGGTCTTGCAGGCAGTGTATCCCTTACCCTTATTCTCATTTAGATTTTTCCCATATGTTTGGCCTGGGATCGGTTAGGATGATACAGAATGGCACCTCTCAAATCCCTCTAAAATAAATAAATAAAAATGCTATCGAAGGAGGGTCGACTTCAACTACAGCGCCTGCGTACTACAACACCCAGAAGGCAGCGCGTCTCAAAAACTGTCATCTCTGGGAATTGCAGTCTTTTTTTATTATACGCACTGGGATGCTCTTTGCATGGAATCCTAATTCAGCCCGCTCTTTATTAAATTTCATTTTCCGTCAGCCTTGATTGACTAAAGCTTTCCCCTACTTTCCTTTTTATGCCTATTCCAAACCAGAGGTTGACTCAGGCAAGAAGCTCCCACCCCCACACACTAGCTTCTCACCTCTAGCTTTGGGGTTTAATACCGGAAGAGCATGGGCGGAAATACGAAAAGCAGAAGAAACGAAAGGGAAACGAGAAACGGTGGCCCGTAGGAGTCTCACCTCACGAAACCGATCTGAGCCGCGGAGAGAGCTGCGCCTGCGCATTGTGCCGGTCTCCACGGCGGGGCCTCGGAGCCAAGACGAGGTTGAGTAGACTCGTTCTGAATTTTCTCCCCTCTGCTCCGGCGGACTTCCCTCCTCGCCGTGTAGGGCTCTTCGCAGCGGCAGGGCCAGGGGAGCCGGAGGTTTGGCAGAGCTGTGTGCGCCGACCTACTGGACGCTGCCTCCCCACCCCCTCTCCTCCAGTCACCTCCTGACTCCCTCCCGGCCGCGGGGGTCTTAGCTGCGCACCTCGGGGCGGCCGGGCTCGCGAGCCCCGGGCGGGAGGCAGGTAGAGGAGGAGGCCCGGTGTCCGAGCAAGGTGCCGAGTCCAGGAACGCCCGGGTCGGCAGAGAAGGAGCCAGACCCTTGAGCGGGCGCGCCCCGCTTTTGAGCTTCCCTTTCTGAGCGCTTAGCATTTTAATACTTAGAAAAGAAAGAGCGTGCTCCCGTGCCTGTCCCTCTGCTTTTGATTTTTTTTTTTTTTTTTTTGTCTTGACGTTAACTAAAGGCCTATCGTGGCCTCGGCGGACCCCATAATTATTATTTCCAAACAGTTGTTTTCTGAGGGAGGATGGATAGAGCCACTTTTTAAGGATTTGGCCAGGAAAGCTCCAGAGCGGGTCTCCCAAGAGACAGCTGAGTCCGGCATGGTGCAGGTGAAGACCGCAGGTCTCCGTTTTTACCTGACTTAAAGAAGTAGTGTAATTAAGCAGACGGGTGCGGTCTAAATCCGCTTTAGATAACTAGAAGTGACTTAAACAATTGGAAATGAAAAGTTTTTATTAGCCAGCGTGACAATAAAAATACAAGTGTTTCCGGTTTATTGTACTCACCTTTATGGAATGCGTGCCCTGGAACCAGAACACCTGAGTTAGACTTTGCATCTGCAACTTAATGAGTCTCAATGTGCCACTTTAGGCAACTTTGAGGATTTAATGCTACGTAAGAAGCATTTAGTAAATGTTAATATTTTTTACCATCATAATAATTATCAACTCAGATTTAATTAGAAGCCTTGCCAGGTAAACAAATAAAGGAGATAGTCACATGGTTGGAGGTATCAAACAGGAAAACCCACAGGCTGAAGTTCCTAGTAAATCACTGAAGATTGGACTTTCTAAAATAAAGGTGTGGCTATTTAAATGTGAATCATGCAACAGTGAGTGTTTACCTATCGAATAAGTGGAAGCATATGACGCTTGAAATGCTTTCTTAATTGAAGTGTTGCTATTGACTCCATATTTGTTAGATATATCATTGGCTAAAAGATCTTATGAAAATAGGTTAATACATTTTTAAATGTCATTAATTTGAGGTTTATCAAATTAAGAATATACAATACCCGAGAGTTGATACAGTTCTTTGTTTTGGTACTAGGGATTGAAGTCACGACCTAGCGCTTGCCAGGCAGGCACTTATGCCGCTGAGCTAAATCCCTGGCCTATACAGTTTTATTAGGAAAATGTCAAGAAACTATAGAACCTCATTATTCTTAAGCAGATAAGACTTTCAATTTGCCAGGCAGAAATCTTGAACTCATTAAAATACTTTTCATTTGACCAAGACCTTTAAAGAAAAGTTACTGTTCCAAAATAACAGAATACCCAGTGTAATGGATTTTTTTTTCTAACAGTGATTTACATGTCATGTTTGGTGTTGCCTCCTAGCCGTAACCAGGATGGGTAATGCTTTTACTTTGTTTTTCTTTAGTTTGAACATTAACTGCAAACGTTTGGTTAATAATTTTCTATGAGATTTATTAACTTTGGTCTTCATGAAGACCCATGGTTTTGTGGAGAACCATAGCTTGGAACATAAATATCTTACAGATTTTTTTTTTCCTGTTTATAAGGGCATAACATGGTGTGGTATAATGACCATGTTTGGGCTTTGGAGTCTTGTTTTTTTTTCCCCCCTCTTACTTGGTTTTGAATCTGAACATAATATTCTGATTGTAAAAAACTTAAAGTGGAGCCTCTTTCCCGAGGGTTTGCATTTCTCATTTTAAATTAACTATGGTCAGAAAATCCAGAAACAAACAAATCAAGGGTTTTTAATTGCATGATGTTCTGAATAGCATAATGTCTCCCTTTACCCTACTTGGGTTATGAGTCATCCTTCTGTCCAGAGAAGGTGTCCTCCAGATAGCCTGCCTACCATCAGTTAGGTAGTAGCCTTCACAGTTACCAGACCGGTATCACAAGTGCTTGTGTTCAAATATCTGCAAGAGTAGTGGTACAGAGGGCTGGGGATTTAGCTCAGCGGCATAAGCGCCTGCCTTGCAAGCAGGCAGTCATGAGTTCGATCCCCGGTACCTATTAAAAAAAAAAGGAAAAAGACTAAAAAAAAAAAGAGTAGTGGTGCTAGCAATTCAGATAAGCCCAAGACAACCTGAAAGTACGTCTATGAAGGTAAAAGTTCTTGATTTAATAAGGGAAAAGTTGTATGCTGAGGCTGCGAAAATCTACAATAAAGTATTTTGAAAGGGTACCTTGCTTAATTATCCCAAGATTTCAAAAATTTTGGAATCTATCCAATATCAGTGTCAGATTTTGTTAGTAGCTATAGTAAGGTAACATTCATATAACTTTATTATAATTAGAATTGCTCTTTTTTGAGACAGGTCTCATTATGCAGTTGAGGCTGGCCTTGGGCTCACTATGTAGCCCAGACTGGTCTCTTATGATGATCCTCTGTCTCAGCCTCCTGAGTGCTGGGATTATAGGAGTGCACCACCACTCCCAGCCCTATTGTTAATCTCTTACTCTGCCTAATTTATAAATTTAACTTTATCATTGTTATGTGTGTTTAGGAAAAAATTATACATATATAGGGCTCTGTTCAGTCATGATTTCAGAGACCCACAGACAGTCCTGAAATATAGCCCCCAAGAGTAGCAATGGGGTGCACTAATGTACTTGACAGCGTTGGTTGTCTATCTGTAAACATACTAAACTTTTCCTCAGAGTCACAAACTGTCAGAGAGCCAAGGAGTGAAAGGAGGTATGTATGTACATGGTAGGAAATGGACAGAAATAGATAATGGGGAAGATTTCAGGGAAGGGAAATGAAGAAAAAAGAGAGATTGTGAACACTAGTCAAAGATTTTGTTTTCTTTTTTTCCCAAATCCATTTTATTTCAAGGAGGAAAAGGAAAAAGAAAAAAACTAAAACAAAATTTCAAAACATCAATTGGGGTGACAGTGGTACATACATTGTGCATTGTCATAGATTTTTTTTTTTTTAAAGTGAAAGCAAAAAGTGTTGGGAGCATACTGGAGTAGTCCATAGTTAGCCAGTGTATGTGGGGCCCTGGGTTCAGTCTCCAGCACCAAAACAACAGTAACAACAAAATCCAGAAATAAAACACATTAAGATAAAATGGAAATACATTCATACATTTAAAAATTTGATACTGATTTATCACATAAGTTCCAAAACTTCTTTTAAAAAGTAATCCTATTACAATACTTGTCAATTTAATAGTCTCGATTTAATTTTTTTGTTTGTTTTTGGTGCCAGGAATCAAATTTACAACCTCATACTTGCCTGGCAGGAACTTGTGCCGCTGAGCTATAGCCTCAGCTCCAGTCTTGATTTTGACACCAAGGATTCACTGTAGTTTATGCTGTTTACCTTACTATAGCTACTAACAAAATCTGACTCTGATATTGAATAGATTCCAAAATTTTTGAAATCTTGGAATATTAAGCAAGGTGTATACTTGGAATGGAAAGAAACCAAGTCTAAGTGGCTTCAGCCTGTTTGCAGGTTTATTCTCAGGTGATTAGTTTTAACAGATGAAAAACTTCTTTTCTTTTTGAGATAGGACCTTGCTGTGTAGCCCAGAATGTATGCTGTATAGCCTCAAACTTAACAGCAGCCTCAGCCTCCCAAGTACAGATATGTACTGTAATACCAGATGATTGATAATATTGAGAAATCCAGGGGAAATTCGGCAACATCATTCAATGTTAGGACTCTTTTTTTAGAAGTTACACTTGAGAAGTTTTGAACAAATAGAACTGCTATTGAACAAAATAAAACCAGCAGTATCCCAAGTATGATCCTTTACAAAGAATTAAATGATTAAAGCCTTTAGAGTCTTCCTCTGACTTGCATTCACCATGTAAACAACAAAAAGGCCTTTTTTTCCTATAATTAAAACACAAAAGACTAATTTTATAGTTTCTTTCTAATCTTTTAGATAAAACTTACTTCCATATGATATGAAACAATCTAGAAAACAATTTGTGAAAAAAGTTGAATGCCCAAATATAAACTGTTTTAACTCCATACTTAATTCTTTGTTCTTTCTTTTTGCTTCCTTTACCCAATAGGAATACTTCTTAAGAAGTATTCTTAATAAGAATACTTAATAAGAATACTTCTTAAGAAAATTTGTTGGACTAGAACTACATCTCAGTGAGAGACTATTTACCTAGCATGTATAAATTCATAGATTTGACATTCCAGTACCACAAAAAAGAAAAATAAGTTTGTTAGTTTTAGGATGGGGAGAATATAGAAAAGGAAGCTTTTATTTTTAAGCTTTTTGTGTTCCAAAAGATCTTCTATTACTAAATGTTTTTATTGAGAAAAAAAT